ACTACTAAAATGACTTAATGATATATAAGACAAAAGAGAAAGGTTATGTTTTGGCAAGAAGGAAAGGGCATTATGGTTCAGTACTATTACTTAACTAACCTTTAAGTGTGCAATTAACATTTAAAGGAAATAAAGTTTTGGAAGCATTATAGAGTAATTGCAGAAATGTAAAAAGTAGTTAAAAGCCTATGGTCTGTAAGGAGAATTTCCTTCAGATAACACTGACAGTCATCAGAAAGTGAATTTGTCATGCATAAAAGATGAAGAAAAATCTGCTCATATGGTGACATAGTTACCGTTTTCTCCTTTGTTGTTTTCTTCGTGAACTTCAACTTATTGACATTTTCTAGAATGAAACTTTCATACTGACCCAGAATTGATCTTTTAAACACAATTCTGAAGTTTATTTTTTTTTTGGGGGGGGTAGATGCTTTGCAAGTGAGCAGGAGGAGGGAGAAATGGAAGGGCTTATGCCTTGAAATTTTACTGGATATTTGCCTATCGACTTGCAGTTTTTTAGAATCTGTTATTTTTAAAAATTTATAATATCTAGCTTCTGCTACTATGAATAGCTTTTCACTTACAGCAGGTATTCAGGGTGTCTGAACTATCAACTCACCTTTGCAATTTATTTTGAGATCAGAAGAGGTTGTAATGTCAATTAAACGTGAAATTCAAAAGCTATTTTTATTTTTTAAAATACATAGTACTTGGATAATATGAATTTTACAACACTAGCTGATTCACACCAGTTTACCTACACTGTTCTTGCTCTTGCTCCTAACTGCTACTTCAGGACCCTAACTCTTTTCAAAAGCCTCTACACTATATGTCTGTAGGGACTTCAGGGAATAGCTTGCACATTTTCCATATAATTCTTTTCAGCTTCCACATAGTAGCTTCAGGTGATTCTTCTGGTTTCCTGTTTTGACCAGTCCCCTAGGGACAACTGTGTGTGGGGAGAGGGAAAGAATTTCTCATGAGGCACAACTATGAAGCCTTCTAAATGAAAAGGCTGTTTCTTTCTCTCTCTCTCTCTCTCTCTCTCTCTCTCTCTCACAAAGATGTTGTGTCCGCCGAGAACTAAAAAATAAATATTAAAAAAAAAAAATTCTCTCTCTCTCTCTCTCTCTCTCTCTCTCTTTTCTGTGCTGGGGATGAAGCCCAGGCCTTATTCCAATGAGGCAAATAATCTACCAGTGATCTACAGTTTAGCCCCTCTCCTTTTTTTAATGTACTTGATTAAATTGGTACCAAAGGAGTGTTCTTTATACAGTTCTCTTTTCCACAGCACTCAGAAGTTTGACCATTTTGGGAGTCAGTAGGCTGGGTCTGTAGACACATTTAGAAAACAAATATGCTGCACTCAGAATCACCTCAACTCTTTGCAAATTGGAGGCCTTCTTGGTGCATTCTGCTTACCACTGGCTTCCCTTCCTTTAGATTTTTCTCCCAGGAGGCCCCTTAGTTCACCACACAAATATACTTCAGACTGATTCCTAGGATTGTACACATCAGTCTCATGCTGTGCCTTACACTCCTACATTTTTTCCATTTTCTTCTCTTGATATACTTTTGATGAGTAGGTGAAAGAGAGTGGAGGCAAATGAATACTGCTACATCTCTCTTTCCTCTGTATCTTCTTATCTTTATTCCTCTTCTATTCAATTATTTATAGGCATGAAATATTGTCAAGTTTTATACTACATTTGTCTTCAAAGTAATGTAAAATAATGAGGTATGATTAAGGATTGGCTATGATGATCACTTGCAACATGGAACAATATAGAAGCTGACTCATTGAAGCACTATGTTCTGTAATAGTAATCTGAATCTGTGATAAATTTATAAATTTGATAGTGAATTTGATTCTAATTGTCATTTTCAAATAGAATCTACTAAGCACTGGAAGTTCCAAAAGTCTGTGCATTTCAAATAAACTATTATCCAGAGTCAGAATATACCCAGGCCCAATGAAAGTGTTAAATATTTCATATAGCTGAACAGAAAAGAAATGTCACCTCCTACTGCAGAGCCTGCATTCGGAAGATGAGTTGCTATCTATAGCAATAAGTGAAATAAAATAACAACAAAGAAATCACATTCTGTGCTAAAATTCTATTTTAGGCCAAATTCATTCTGTATTGCTTATTTTCACAGTTAAACCTACAATTGAGAAGGAAAGTTTTCAATATAGAGAATTGCATTATTTCATAATTATAATAATGTTCTTAATCTTTCTAATTTAGTTTCACTATAGTAAAAATTATTCAAGTTACCAGTCTTTGTTTTTAATAACATAGTGTACAAAAATCCCACTAACAGTAACATTTTTTAAAATTGAATAATTTTCATGCATCAAATATTCTAGTAAAATGAAAATAATATTGTAGCAATTATTTACATTTTCATTCTATTTGAGAAAAATCATACTAGTGAAGCAAATAATGTATGTTCTTGATTTCATTTTAACACATGTATATTGTCATTCTATCCATATCTGTGTCTCTTTTAAATCAAATAGCACAATATTTTAAAATTTGAGTATCATTAGTTAGATAATGGGTACCATTACAGGCTCAGAGATTAATGGAAAGCCAGTTGAGTTGAAGAAGGGAAAAGATAAATGGGGAGAAGAAAAAGCACACTTGCAGTGGTGTATGATATTTTGTTTATCTCCAATTTTTGTTATTTTCTTCCTGTTATTAGATTTAGATTTAGTTTTTCCTTTTCTAGTTATGTAAGATGTAAGTTAATTTATTGATTTAAGATTTTTCTTCCTTAATTTAAGTATTTACTAGTGTAATTTTTCCCTCTTAGTATGACTTTTACTGTATTTCATAAGGCTTGGCATGTTGTTCTTTTTTTCCATTCATCTCAAAGGATTTTCTCATTTATCTTGTACTGATTTTTTGGCCCCATTGGTTGTTTAAGAATGTGTTGATAAATTTCTGCATAATTAGAAAATTTTGACTTTCTTTTGTTATTTCTTATTATGTTCTTCCTATTTTGATCACAAAAGATACTTTTGTTTAATTTTAGTCTTTTTAAAATTTGTTTTTACTTGCTTTGAGGCCTGACATATGATTTGTCCTGAGGAATGTTCTTATGTGTGCTTGAGAAAAATATACATTCTACTGTTATTGGTTGAAGTGTTTTGTATATGTCTGTCTGTTCTAATTGGTTTGTAGTGTAATGTAATGTAATTTCTCTCTCCTTATTAATTTGTTTTCTAGTTAGTCTATCCACTATTGAAAGTAGGGTATTTAATTCTCTTTGTACTATTTTAGAATGCTATAAATCTTCCTTCCAGTCTGTCAATTTTTATTTCAATTTTGGAGCTCTAGTCTTAGGTGGGCATGGGTTTATAATCATCATACTTTCTTGATGGAATAACCTTTTTATCCATATGTAATGTCCTTCTTTGCCTCTCATTAAATTTTCTTTTTTTTTTTAAGTCCATCTTGTGTCAAAAATGTAGAAACCTCAGTTCTTTTGGTTGTAATTTACATGAATATCTTTTTTTCTCTTCTTTTGTTTTTGGCCTTTTGTATTTTTTATGTAAAATGACTCCCTTTTATACCAGTAAATAGATCATTTTTAATCTATTCTACCAAATACTTGTTTTACTTGGAGAGCGTCGTTTTTTCCATGTGTCCATGAAAATTCCATACAAGTCCCACAAATATTCACTGCAAGACAATGTAATGATTACAACTCTACCACAGGGTTGAGGATGTGGATTAGTGGCAGAACACTTGCCTAGCATGAGTGAGACCTGGGTTTAATCTCTAGCACTGCAAGCAACAAACAAACAAACAACAACAAAATGCAGTACTGTATTTAAATATAGCATGAGTGGAGATAACTTTATTAATGTTGATTCTTTCTGGCATTATTAAGCATAGTTCAGGTTTCTATAACATAGTATTATAGGGCTAGGGATATCGCTCATTTGGTAGAGTGCTTGCCTTGCATGTACAAGGCCCTGGGTTCAATCCCCAGCACCACAAAAACAAACAAAACAAACATAGTATTATAGACTTATAAACAACAAAATTTATTTCTCATTATTTTGGAAGCTTAGAAATCCAAGTTCAGGGTGCCATCATTGTTGGGTTCAGGAGAGGGCCATCTTCTGGATTGAAGACTCCTTAGTTGTCATTGTATCCTAAATGGTGGAAATAGAATAAGCTAGCTTTCCGTTCCCTTCCTATTCTTTCTTTTTATTTTCCTTTTCCTTTTCCTTTTTCTTTTCCTTTCCTTTCCTTTCCTTATTTCTTTCCTTATTTATTTATTTGGTATGGAGATAAAACCCAGAGGCACTTAACCACTGAGCCCCATCCCCAGACCTTTTATATATTTTATTTAGAGACACATACAAATTTTGGAGGGACACATCCTTTCATTCCATAACTGGCCTCACACTTGGGTATGCCTCATATTTCATTACTTTTGCTGGATTCTCCATTATAATAAGAATGTCTAATGTACTTAAACATAGATATTGTAAATAATGGGCAATTTTTGAACAGGCCAAGTGTGCTTTGTAAGATGGAAGGTGGCACCAAATTTTGAGAAATGAATAGTAGAGTTGATATTTTGTTTTTTAGTATTACTATACACAAGCTAATACTACATAATGTTTGCAATTTCCAGTTTAGATCATCGTGATAGGAAATCAGAGATTAAAAAGTATGATCTGTATTTAAGGCCCAGAAGCTTAGTCATTTTTTGAAAGCCATTTATTCTTGCATACTCTTTTTATTTGACATTTATGTACTATAATGCATAGAAATCAATCAAATTTGTACATTGTATATACTTAATTTAGTTTATTTTTAGGTTACATTCTGTAGGAGATGGGAAGGGAGTGTGTATCCATGCAATAACAGCTGCAACTGGAAATTTACTAGTTTATCACTTTTAGAATTGTTTTTACATGCTTAAAGATCCTAATCATAAAACACTATTTTTTTTTTGCTTCCATTTCTTTTTAGAACCTTGTAAAACATCTTCCTGAGCAGAAGGTACTCAGTGAATTAGCACAGCTTAAGAATGAATATGATGACCTCTGTGAGCCTGAGCAATTTGGAGTTGTGGTATGTATTGAGTAGAAAGGCCTCAAAACTCAACTGGGAGGTAACACTTGTCAGAAACAGTGAAAAGAGAGACATTTCAGATGTTGATTTTTTTCTGACTTTGTAACTACATAATTACATATAATATTGACTGTCAGGAAAAAATCCTTATTTACCTCTAATATTTTTCATGGTATTAAAAAATAACCAAGTTAATTTTTATGTTCACAAAATACCCTAAGATATATCATGAGATCCTCTCAATTAAATTAAATTGAAATTAAGTTGTATTACTATATGTAAAATACAAAATGCAATATTGTATTGGCTATTTTTTCTTTCATTCATATCTCCATGTTAGAATTTGCCTTCCCCAAACCTAGTCTTCAATGCAAGGATAATAACTGGATAACTAGCTAAATACTAGAGACTTTTCCATGGTATATATTATTTCAGAAAAAGCATGGGTATTTTCAGATTTTCTAGAGTGTCATTAATTGATTGAAAGCTCTAAATATGCTGTTTCAGGTGAGACCAATATCTTACAAATATACCTCATATGGTTGATATTATTGGAATTAATCAATTTTCTTTATTCCCCCTTCTCTTAAGTGTTTCCAAAGATGACTAGGTATAAGATATGTACTATAGAATGTAGTTAATATATTTTAAGTATTCCCCAATTCTGCTATTCAAATAGTTGGCAATTTTTTTTCAAAAAAGGTAGGGAAGAGGACATCATGATTTACTTCATTTATTGGAGTTAAAAGGTATACTTTACTTAGATATTCAATACAAATTTATTTGTCATGTGAATGAAACAGTTCCATTATGAATGTCAGTTTTTCTCTGACTCCCTGAACATTTTCTGTCTGCATAGTAAACATTTTTAAATTGCCATTTGTCCTGATAGTCAAATACTGTTGCTTCATCCAAAATATTTTATAAGGTTTTTTAATAGTTGTGTATTTGAAACTTTGCAATTTCAATATCTTGTTTAAAATCAATATATGAAAGATGAGGCTCTACATATTCCATTTGAACATGTGGAATAACTGCCTGCCGATATTTAGAGTACTTTAATTCTAATACATGTCATTTCCTACTGATTTAAATGTTTTTTTTTTTTGTCAAATCCCTTAAAAGAAAATCAGACATAGGCATTTGAGATCAACAAAAGCATAAAAAGTTACCTGAAGAATGTATTTCACTAACTTTTGAGTTAGGAAAATTAGTCAACTGAATCAATATTATTAGTCAACTGAATTAATATTATTTATTAAATTGCAGCATTTTAGCACAATGTTAAGTAATAAAATTTTCTAGACCAAAGGCCACACTTGAAACCTGAGCTTCTCAGATTCATATTGTAATTGAAGCAGGGCTGTACACCATGTGAGATTTCCACTGTGTCATGATGGTTATGAGTTTTACAGTAGGTACACTACGCCGCAGTTTCTCTGAAGCCATTTTTTTCTTCGAATGCAGTTTATCTTAGAAGATGTATTAGTTTGCCAAGCAAGTCCTTCAAGAGGAATATCCTTGGTACCACTCAGGAAATGAAGTTTGGGACATAAAAAGCAATATACCTTCTGAACTAAAGGCAAAATAGAAAATGGAAGAGATTTCTTGTTTATGCACATAACCATAAATAATTCTCAGTCTGTGTGTACATGAATTCACCTAGTCCTCTTATTTACTCTCACTATACATAGTTACATGTCTCTGGGGAAAATATCAAGGCAATTACAAATCAGTTATACTATGTAAATTACCTAAGAACATATAAAACAGAATTTGCCAAATAAAGTTTAGGTAAATGCATTGTTAGGAAAATATTTAAAAAATTTTTTTAGTTGTTTGGGCTGGGGATGTGGCTCAAGTGGTAGCGCGCTTGCCTGGAATGCGCGGGGCACTGGGTTCGATCCTCAGCACCACATTAAAAATAATTTTGAAAATAAAGATGTTGTGTCCACCAAAAACTAAAAAAAAAATTTAAAAAATTCTCTTTCTCTCTTTAAAAAACATTTAGTTGTTGATAGATATTTATTTTATTTATTCTTATGTGGTAGTGAGGATTGAACACAGTGCCTTGCACATGCTAGGCAAGTGCTCTGCCACCAAGCCACAAACCCAGCCCCAGGAAAATATTTTTTAATTAATTATAAACTTTAGTCTTTTAAGCATGTATGCATGCATTGCAGTGTTCAGAACAGTATCTTCATAAGTAAATGATGTTTATTGAATTGAACTATAGGACAATTATTAAAGGACAATTATTAAAGACAAGTATGTGGGCTGGGCACGGTGGTTCATGCCTCTAATCCCAGGGGCTTTGGAGGCTGAGACAGGAAGATAGTGAGTTCAAAGCCAGCCTCAGCAACTTAGCCAGGCCCTAAGCAACTCAGTGAGACCCTGTCTCTAAAAAAATACATAAAAGGATTGTAAATGTGGCTCAGTAGTTAAGAATCCCTGGGTTCAACTGCTACCAAAGAAACAAACAAAAGAAAAGAAAAGTATGCGACTGAGCTATAAAAGTAAAAATCATGCTAAAACAAAAAAAAGTTAAATTACTTTGGTGTGAATATACCCAAATACCTTAACTGAGGATACCTTTAGGAATACATGTACTCTTCTGCACTAATGAGAGAGGCTCCAAACTCTAGAGGTGCCTTGTGTCTGCTCTTTTCACCTATCAACACTATTAATTTAGTCTTCTGAAAAAATATGTGTTTATCATATAATTTCTTATATCAAAAACCTTCAATGTCTCCCTGAATTTACAGAATGGAACTAAAACTCCTTTGCATTCTCATCCTGCCTATATTTTCTTATTACCATTATCCTACAATCTTCTATCACCTGCTAGTTCTTTTTTCACTTACCACAAACAACCTAACCTCTTGCTTTCCAGAGAAAAGCAAAAGCACTTAAGCTTCAGTGTCTCCAATATCTCTTCTACCTACAAAGTTATCTCTAGCCATATCTTTTTGTTTTCTTGATATGGGCTCTTTCTTTGTTGCCTAGTGTGGTCCTAAAGTCATGAGCTCAAGTGATCTTCCCAGCTTAGCCTCACATTTAGCATTTCCTGACTTAATGATTTTTTCTGTGGGGTGCTAGGGATTGAACCCAGGATGTTGCACATGCTAGGCAAGTGCTCTACCATTGACCTATATCCCCAGCCCCATATATTTCATTAACTCATTTTCTTCCAAACCTCAGAAAAAGAGATGTACAATTATTATTACCAATATTATTGGTATTATTTTTTAAAATTTTTTGTTTATTATTGGTACTGGAGATTGAACCATTACAAGGGATGCATTGTGAGTAGTAAAAATATAATGGAGACTTACTGTGTCATGTTCTGTACTAAGCATGATTACTTGAACTATCTTATGTATTGTGAAGAACCCTTTGAAGTTGACAATATTATTAGCTTCATATTACAGAGGATGAAACTGAGGGCAAGAAAGGCTAGGTAACTTGTCCAAGGGTGCACAGATACAGAATTCAATCCCAGACAGTCTGAATTCATAGCCAGTGCTTTTAGCTACTGTTCCCTTCTGGGGTGTGTGTGTGTGTGTGTGTGTGTGTGTGCGTGCGCGCGCGCGCGCGCGTGCGTCTATCTCTCCTATGCCTACTTAAAGACATCAGTATTTCTTGCCTGCTTAGCTTCCATTGCATATTCAATTTGTCAGGCTCCACTCTGCTTTTTTTATTTATGGGGGAAAATAAGTCACTTGCTGTCTAAAAATGAATGAATATATAGATGGATGAATGAATGCAACATCTATCATTGACCCTAAGGCCTTTGCAAGCTACTGCCCTTTCTCCATTTCTCACTTTAGTTTTGTCAAAGATTAGTCTCCATTTACTCTCTAAAGCCTTACCTCTTATTCCCTCTTCAACCAATAGCAATCAAGATTCTGCCTTAAATAATAATTTGAAATTGATCTAGGAAAGAACATTAATTACCTCTTAATCACACTTGAAAAATACATCAGATCTCCTCACTTCTTACCATTTGTACTAGTACTGCCTTAGTCCAGATTAGCATGGCCATTGTCTTTGACTATTACAACATATATTTAATGTTTGTGCATACATACAGTACTAGGATTAAACTTGGGGGTGCTTTACTTCTGAGCTTCATCCTGAGCACCCTTATTATTGTTTATTTTGAGACACAGTCTCACTAAACTGGGGAGGCTGGCTCAAACTTGCAATCCTCCTGCCTCATACTCCCAGGTAGCTGGGATTACTAGTGTCCATCACTGTGTTCAGCTTTAACAATATACTTGTAGCTGGTTTCTCTCACTTACACTTTGGCCCTTCTCCGAATCAGTCTAAGCATAGTTGTCCTCATGGTGGCATTTCTAGAGCATATTTGTATTGCATTATATTATTTATCTGCTTAAAACATCAGTACTGTTCTATAGCAGTAAAACTATAGTATTGTCTCCTTCCTGTGGCCTTTAAGGCACTGCCTGGTCTGATACTTGCACTCATCTACTACTTTTCTCTCTTTCTGCTTGGCCTCTTGCTTATTATGCCTTAGCCACATTGTATTTCATTTTTCTGATGGTTGGATTCACAGGGCTCTTCCCTACCTCAGGACTGTTTTATGTGCTGCCCTATCTTACTCCCTCTCCCTGCCTGCCTCTCCTGCTTATTCTTCAAGTATTAGCTTAGATTTTGCATTCCCAGTGACACCATCACTTACTTATCCATCAAATATTGGTATCCCTATTAACCTGTCCCAGAGCACCTTTTTAAAGATTATCATGCTATTTAATTGTTTATTTCTTAGGTTGAACGTCTGCAACCCTTACTAAATTGTAAGATCTATAGGTGGATGAATCATGTCAGTTTTATTCATGTATATGCACCTAACAAATCTTGACTGAGTCTTTTTGCATAAATGCAAAATCAAGTAAACTCTTTTCAGTCTAGTCTTAATTTGTATCCATATGGCTCACATAACATTGAAGAATTTAAATTCCTTTTTGAAACCTTTT